TGGGCTCAAACAGAGTTTGCCAAAGTTAAAGGAGAAAAGACGCACTCCACTGCCACCCAAGGAGCCACATGTTCCAGGAACCATCCCGGGAGTCAGCATCCGGGGACAGGAAGGCAGGGAAGGGTAGAAAAAGAATGCTTGAAAGACTGGCGACCATCTGTGAGGACTCTTCCCAGATCCTGTTTGTGACCATTCCATACTCAGAAAGCTAAAGCAGAAAGAACCCGCGAAGGCATCAGGACTGACCACCCCACGCCCCCCACCACCTAGGGCAGAACAAGCTTTCCTGTCCAATCTGACCCCCCGCCAGGGGAGCTCCAAGCTTCTCGTAGGTGAGCCTAGCAGATGCTACAAGCTTGCAAATACAGGGTGAAAGTTACTAGCCTCTGTATAAAAGGAAACCCACAGACTGTGAGCCAACCACTCACTGAGAAAATATAAATAGTTAAATGGGTAGAATCAGCCTCCTTTTCTGTTCTCTGGATATAACTTGCTCCTGGTCTTCTGTGAATAGTTAACTGAAAAGCTGTTGGGGTGGACATCTGTTGTTTTTGCCTGCCCAGCCTCTTTCCTCCTTTTACTGGAAATAGCATCCTGATTTTCCTTGAAGAATCACTCCTCCCCCTTGCTCGATCCATGTGGTCTTGGGTGGAGCTGAACCCACCCGCAGCTCCAGGGATAGACAGGTGACCCAGACTGAGACAATGAGGACATCACAACCCACTGGCCACCGTGACTGGCTCAGAGGTGGGTGTAGGACAAAATCAGGACCAGACTGACGCAGTAACAGGTGTTTGTGCAAAGAGAGAATCTTTTCCCTACAATTCCTGAGAGGATAGATGGCTGGAAGCCATCTCACCACCACAAAGAGAGTCCAAACTGCCTGAAAATGGAATCAAGGCAGAAGAAATCAAAGCTGAACCCCGCCAACAGTGTTCTTGCCCCTGGATCCAGCCACACCTGAAGTTTGACTTTTCAGTCACAGCAGCTAAAATACTCTATGGTTTGACAAGCTCATGTGACTTGGGCTCTTCTGAAAGAGTCCTGACTAAGGTTGTTGTTCACTGATGGACTGATGGATGTATAGCATTTCCTGTGAAATCGCAGGAATGATGAGAGGCTGAAGGCTCTCCACTCCCAGGGAACAAAATGCCTACGAGGTTCCCAGGGGCTTCAGAAAAAAGCACCTGCTGGCCCAGTAGCATTTTGGGAGACATGGGGACTGAAGAACTCCTTCCCTAGGAATCTATCACGCTGTGAAGTATTCACAGTTTTAAAATTACTCATTAAGAGCTAGGGTTTTTTTTTCCACTCTGCTACCTTAGTTACTGATTATTTCCAGATCCATCAGATATACAAACCCTTGTTTTTAAAATGCAATCAGCACACCCACGCACCCATCTATAGATAGTAAGGAACAGGTAGCCGAAGGTCCTAGAACATAATGTCATCACACAGGATGAAATGGATAGCATTACAAATGTATACTCAGCAGGAAAATACTATTTAGCTGGTAATTCAAGCTGGGGATGAATAATCAGTTCATTTTGAATAATGAACCAAGAAAGCACTGCCATTTAGAAAACTTGGGGTCCATCCTTCTCTTGGAAAGCCTGGCATGGCTGCGTCACTCTGATGCAGAAGGTTGCCATTCCTTCCAGAGGCCCCAAGCCGTGGCCCTCAGCCGGCAAGGTGGCTGGTCGAAGACCACCCAGGCCAACTTCTCGGACTCCAGTTTCTCATCTGACTCCAGGGCTCTGGGAGGCCATATGAGGTTTCTCGTTTCACCAGCTCTGCAGGACAAATGGTGCGTGGCTTTGTGGTCTCTGGACACATTTAAAATCCCCATTTACTGGTTTCTTCTCCTCTGTGCATCAAGTTCCCTCACCAACCTGCTCATGGCCAGGATCTACAAGGTCCTGATGGGGAGGGGTCCTTCCAATTTTTCCTGACATGGCTCCAAAAACTGCTTGGGTGATTACACTTTTAAGATGGGGCCAGCTCCTTGAAGCATATACCAGAGGAGTGTCAGCACGGGAAAGTATCTTAGAAAAAGGAACTCACATAACACCCCTTTATAGCTGAATTTAACCCATTTTGAAGAAAGTTGCTCCCTCTGTTAGTGTGACCATGATGTGATGTGTGTGGCCTACACTTTGATCTCCTTTTCAGATGTGGAAATAAACAGACACTCCTGCCCGCCTGGCTGAGTCAGCAGCTTTGTCAGGCAAGGGGCCTGTAGCCTCCCTTGTGGTTGTCCAATCTCTTGAAGCCAGAGGTCTCATCCTAGACCCAGAACCTTAGCCTGCCAGGCCAGGGGTCTGAAAAGTCCACACATCCTGGACTTTGCTTTGGGCTGAAGCCATGTCCCCTTCCAAAGGATTCTCAGCCTCCATAAGAAGCTTTGGAACTTTATTCTCATGAAACACTGACTTAATCTTTGTATGGAGACTGCTATTTACATTAAAATTGGTCACATAATGAAAAAAAAAGTAGTTCATTAATATGCTAAGAAGTGCTAATTTGAACATTGCCGAAAAGCAATTGCAAATTCCATTTTGCAACTTGCAAATGTGATGCAGTGCAAATTAAGGCTGATGGACTCATCTTCAGACATTCAAACTTCATCTGGATACTTCCTTAGCATCCAGGTCTCGGCTGCATCCACCGGCTTCAAGTCCCAAAGGGGTTTCTCCTTCACTTGGGAAGAAAGAGCATGCCTCCAGGAATGGGAGGGTTTCACTATGAGCCATTTCTACAATGACATCTGGTGAGTCCAAGTAAGGGCATCATGAGGGGTGCTGCTGAAATGACCCATAACAAAAGAATAGAATAACTCCCAATCTTCACCAACACAAGTCTTCTGTAAGATGGAGCCATACCAGATCCTAAACTTTCAGCCAAGACAACTTCCAGCTGGATCCCAGCCTCCAGCTCTATTCCGACAGGTGATCTATGATGCTCTGTTGACCCAAACTGGATTGAGAAGTAGCCTGAGATGCCCTCTCTCTGCCGAGGAAACCCGTGAGGATCAGAGCCAGATTGGCAAGTGTCAGCCACTGTTCTCCCAGGGGAGCATTAGGGGCAACTCTGTGGATGGGAAATAAATCCCTGAGGACTATGTCACACTCCGCAGTTCCTTCCATCTTCCCGCCACCCTCCCTGAGGTCTACACAGGCAGTGGAATCAGAACTTACACGGAGCGAGGTTCCGAAGTCAGCACATACAGGGACATCTGTGTGGGCCTCAGAAGACCCTTAAAATAGCATAGCATTGGACACCAACATCCTTCTCCTGGTACGTGCGGTATATTCACTTTCCTCCATCTTTGGTCAGCTATTCCTTCTTCTGCTGAACACCAGATGAGGTGGTTGGCTGGCTTTGGGGGCCATACTATATTTTTGAAGTGTGTTGTCTACAAGTATATAAAAACTCATTAAACACAGCAAGATATTCCAGTTCTGAGAGGCACCAGTCAGGGGCCCCAATACTCATTGCCAAGGCTTGCCACTTTGGCAGGGTCAGCACAGGCAGAAGCCCCCCTTGTCATTGCCCCACTCCAGGCTGTTTCCCTGGAGGATGAGCATCCCCACCTGCTGTCCCTTCAAGTCAGGAGCATTTAGTCCTGACCACATCCCCAGCTAGGCCTCAAATAGACTTTGCTCCCTTGACTCCCTCCCCACTGCTTCTCAAAAGGATGCCCATCAACAAAAGGATGAAGTAAAGAGATGAAGGGACCTGGGTAAGGCAAGAGCAGAAACATCAGTATAGAGCCAGAAATAAGGTTAATACAGGGTCACGTGAACACGCAGTGTGAAGAGGGACGTGAAAAACAGCTTCCCCGGAGGCAGAGCAAACAGGGGAACAAGAGGCGTGAAGAACTCTGTCCAGAAAACTGAAAAGGCTCTTCTGCAGCTGAGGGCTAGCAGAGGTTTCTCTGGTGGGTCCCCTTCAAGGGAAGGGACACTGAAGTGGAACCCAGAAGCCAGGCATTTGACAGGTCAGCTCCTGAGATGTTGTTCAGTAAACTCCCACAACAATCTAAAAAGGCGGTTTTCCCAGGTTGTCCCCTAGCCCTGAGACACAGTCAGACCTGTATGTGTGTACAGGTCTGACAGTCACTCAGTCGTGTTCAAGTTTTTGTGGCTCCACGGACTGTAGCCCGCCAGGCTCCTCTGTCCATGGAATACTCCCAGCAAGAATACTGGAGTAGGTAGCCCTTCCCTTCTCCAGGACATCTTCCTGATCCAGGGACTGAACCTGGGTCTCTTGCATTGCAGGCAGATTCTTCACTACCTGAGACCTGTGCTTATCTTCAAAGTGTCTGTTTGCAGAGGCTGTTTCTACTCTAAGATGGACTCGAAAGGGAGATGACAGAGGTCCATTCCACATGCACCTCACTGTGCCTTCCGGGCCCCGCATGCTTCTCCAGCGTTGGTGTCATGACACCTGCTTGCCCCTCACATCAGCCACCCGGGAAGGCTCGGGGGGATCTTGGGCAGACTGCTGCTTTCTCATCACCCAGGTTTCCTCTCAAACGTGCCCTGCTCTGTGACAAGTCTGCCTGAAGCTAACGGTGGCTTCCGAGTGCCTACCACCATCTGGAACTCCTTCCCAACTACTAGAATGTAAACGCCATGCAAGCAAGAACTTATCTTGCTCAAGCTAAGTCCCAAGCACAAGGAATTTTGCCTGGTGCATGACAGATATTTAATAAATACTTGTGAAATAAATGAACTGTCTAACACACCCTTCTATAGCACATTCTATGGGCCAGGCACCACTAAGCCCTTTTAAAAAATAATAACTCATTCTCCCTCAGAGTGGCTCTCATACATAAGTTTTATCACTAACCCATTTCACAGATGAGGAAACAGGCACAGAGAAGTTTAAGTCATTTGCCTAGGGTCACACCGCTAGTGGGGGATAGGACCTGGAGATCCAGCTCCAGAGTCAGAGCCCCTGATCCCACAGCCTGTGATGGGGGTAGGATGCCTGGCTCACGGCCAGAAGTTTTCATCCTCTTCCCCGAATTCAGAAACCTTCTCACACTCCTGCCCCTCATCCAGAGTTGCTGGGCCCACTGATTCCAGAGATAAGTAGCCTAATCCATTTAAAATCTTCTTTTTTAACGTTGTTGATTTTAGCTGAAATGCAAAGTGCAGCACAGAGGAGCCCAGACGGCATCCACTGGAGTCTGGGATTAGTTCATTAATAGGTTCGGCTGCTGCCCATGAGGCAGCATAACATTAGGAGCTAACTGCTTCCGACCACGCGCCACTTAGAACCGCACATTTGCAAATCAGCTCGAGATGCAGATCACCGTGAGAGATGGCAGTGTGAAAGAAAGGCATTTTTCATTTGTTCTCCTAGTAATAGCTATATGGAATACGATTGGTGTAGACAATGCAAAAAAGCAGTTTTTCTCATTTGTTTTCTAAACCAGCCAACACACCCCATTCATACAGCACGGCTCTGTGGGCAGCTGTGGGCATCTCAAACAGAAATCCTCCAGGAAGCAGTCTGGACCTGGGCAAACCAGACACGCCTGGCCTGGCCTGGTCCCCACATGCCTAGGTCCAGTCCTGGAAACACTAACAGTTCCTGCAGAACCCAGTAGAGGAGAATACACGCTCTGGGGAAGGAGCACACTCTCTGTAAGGGAAGACCCCAGCTGAAGCCTGCAAAGTAACCCGGCTCCCTTGTCCCAGAGATGCATGCTCTGGTGTGACTGTGTCATGTCTGTCATTGAACAGACTCCACCTGCCACTCTGTGCATCAGTTCCATCCTCACAAGACGCCCTCTCTCTTCTTCACTGCTCTGAGTATCCATGTGCTATCTTTGCCTCCTAGTTTCTGCTGCTTCTGAGCTCCGGCTTCCTTGTGACTCCACTCTCCATGACCTCCCAAGGCCCCATTCACCTTGCAGCTTCCTTGCTGCCTTCAGCTTCAAGTGTGGTCTCCCACACTGAGAGCAAGCACTGCCTGGAAAAATAGCCAGAGAAAACAAGAAACTACCCTCTTCTCACTTCACCTTCCCAACTCTTTCCTCTGCAAAGAAGTATCCATGGGGTGTGAGGTCTCTGGGCATCCAGGAAGGCCAAGGGAACCATTACCATTGGCTCTCCTCGAGCAAAGTTTAGTTTATCAGGCTTGTAGGAAATCGGAGCCAAAAGGTAAAAATTAAGTTGTTTAGGAGAGACCCTGCCTGAATGGACCTATCATTTGAGAAAAGTGGGCTTGCCCATTCCACTTACTGATGGAACTACGTGCCTTTTGGGGAAGGTGGAAAACACTGTTGTAAGAAAATAGCTTGGCTCCAAGAAAGGCCAGCTTATGTTAATGCAAGAAGCCCAGTTTTCAGACTATTATCCTTCTCACTGTTAAGTAACGCATTGAACTTCTGGGTTTATACATCAGTCTCACAACTTTGACTAATGTGAGTCTATACTTAAGACAGATCCACTTTCAGAATCTGAATAAACTCCAATATCTGGATTGTGAGGTTGAGAATCAAATTCAAGCTGTGATAGATGGCTAGCTAACAAAGGCCACTCTGCAGGGCTACCTCTGGTTAATGGTCTCCCTCCCTGCTCCATACCAGGCCCTAGTAAAACTCATCCTGGAAAGGAGAAAGCAAGCAAGCACTCACAACTTAAAGCCAGTGATTCTTGACCTTGGCTACTGAGGAGTCAGCTAGATCTTACCCCAGACATTCTAACCTAATTGGCCAGGCCGGCCCCTTCGGCACTGGGCTTTCTATAGCCCACGCTGTGGTTCTGCTATGCAGTGAAAACCACTGACTAGAGCTTGGAAGCCCTCAGGTCACACACTGTAGAGATATTCAATATGATAAGGACCAGAGGGTGGAAAGGAGGGAGAACCCACTGCAATTCTGAGCAGAAGCCTCTAGAGATAGAGGAAAACTTCCACCAAGGGCATAGCTCACCTTGTCCTCCTCCACCGCTTCCTCACTAAGCCCTGCCACGATGGCATTCCCCAAGTCAGGTGTCTGCCGGCTGATAAGAGGAACTGTGAGCTCTGGCGAAACTTTGCAACTGCCTCTGGATGCAAGTTAAACCTATAATTAGAGTTTACTGCCGCTCCAATAACAGAGGACTGACCCACAGCCCAGGACTCCAGCGGCACCGGCTTCAAGCCAGTGATTGAAAACCTCAGCAGACAGACTTGCCACACCTTACAACCGTCTCCTGGTGGGCTGTCCCCTCTGATGTCCAAAGGGGAGGAATTGAATTATGGCCTCGGATGAAAGAGAAGTCACGGGGCAGGGGTATGGGGGTGCGGTGGAAATGGCAATGATGCATGGACCTGGGTGGGCCACTGGGGACAAGGTAACATGGGGAGACAGCCGATCTCCCCTTAGTCCTTCAAATCTCCTTCCTGAAACCCATCCCAGTGCCTGCGCTGGTAGAGAAGCAGCTGCCATGCTGGAAACAGCACAGGGGTGTGAGCTTCCCCGAGAACCACCCCTGCAATGGCAGGGTCAAGACAGCACCACCAGCCTTCACATTCACAAGTAATAAATATGCTCAAATTAAAAATGCATTTGTCCCACTCATTGTACCTCTGTTATGTATCATAACATGTAAATACAAATTCCACTTGTCTTTCGCTAATTATTTACTTTCTATTCTCCAGTTGGTCAGCAGAGGAAATAACAACCATCTTCCTATATATGTATCTCAATATTACTAATATTCTTTAAAATTTATAGATTCTCCTTTAAGATTGAATGAAAGCTATTGCCTCTGGCAGGGGAAGCAACTGAAAATTTTGTGAATTATATGCCTAGTTTGCCCCTATTTTCCAAGCTAAATATCTAAGATAGAATATTTAAGAATATTTTGTGACCACTCAAAAGTTCTTAACAGTATGGTGAGAAGAAGTGTGGAGCCGATACCATACTTGGAATCAGGAGACTCTGGTTTGAGTCCCAGCTCGTGCACGAAGCTGTTCTATGACTCTGACTATTAGCATCTCCCTGGTTTTCTGTGTCTTCAAAGAACTGGGAACACCCTCACCTGACCTGCCCACCTCGTGGTGGCATTAGGAGAATCAACAGGTACCCTACGAGGTGAGAGGCTGCAGAAAGCAGGGAGCAAGCAGCAGGAAATCCATCATCACAGGATAGGGCCACAGAGAAGAGTGTGGGCTCAGTTAAGGGAGGAAACTAGGAACAGTGGGTTCCCCAGAGGGACCAGAGTGTTCCCAGAGCCCAGTATGCACTGGAACCTCAGAGGAAGGACCGCCTAACAAGAGCTTAAGTTGGGGGTGCCCCAAAGCCAGGCGACTGAGACAGCTTGCCCACCTCGTTCTCCCCCTGCCTATGGTTCCCTCTGTGGCTCACAATGGCCAAGTCCAGTTGGAACCAGCCAGCAAGGACCAGCCACATGACCAGCCTCCAGGGGCAGAGGGAAGGGTAGAGAAGGCTGGAAATGGATGGGGTGGGGGTCATAACCAGCACAGAGGCTTATGCACAGTCCAAATCTCCATTCAAACCCAGATATAAAAGCCATGGTACTTCTCCACAAAGGATTTTTAAAATGCCTCAGAATTCAGCTCCCCTCAACTAACAAAGACCCTCCCTGATGCTGAGTCGAAAGGGACATGTAGTTCTAATCAGGGTACCAATAAATCGACTCTGCTTTAAGAAAGTTCAATACCCAAGAAGGCAAAATTTAGCATAGAATCAAGAAAGGTTCTTCACCTTCAAAAGGCCCTCCTATTGCAAGGATCCCTCCCAGGGCTCATTAAGCAGCAGGCCCCATCCCCTTCACTCACACACACACACACACACACACAGACACGCATACACACGCACACACGCACACTGTCAGAGGCTGGCAGGGGCTGCAGGAGGGGGAGCCAGGAGAACGGCAGGCTAGGGAGGGAGCTTGCCCACGGGTCAGTCACCGGCCGCAGCCAGCACCCTGTACCTGCTTAGTCTCTGACATTGCCGTGTCAATGGAGAAATAGGACATCTGGCGCCGTTTTGCAGCGCGCGTACCTGTTTGGTCTCTGACATTTCACTGTCAGAGGAGAAATATGACATCTGGAGCAGGTCTTACAGCACCACAAGCAACCAGGGTGCACCTGAATGCTTGTTTTGTCCTGGAAGTCCTCAGTAAACGCCCCGGTCATATCCTGGAATTTCATCGGAGGAGAATATCGTGATATAGTAACTGGGTGGATCTCAGAGGGTCAATCCAATCCCAGCTTCTGTTTGGCAGATAAGGAAATTGAGAGGCAAAGAGCAGATGTGACTTGCTCAAGACCACAGACACAGAGCAAGTCAGGGATGGAAGAATTCAGGCTTCCCTGGCGCCTAGTCCTGGGTTCCTTATCCCCCATCTCCACCCCTCAATGAGCGAAGTCCACGTGAAAATACCTGAGGATGGGATCTCTGTCAGGATATAAAGAGGACAAGAGTACAGGGTCTCAAATTTAACCGCTTGAGTTCAAACCTCTGCTCCATTTGGCTGAGTTTGAGAAAGATATTTCATCTCTTTTTAGGCCTCACTTGTTTCCTCTGTAAAATGGGTATGAAAATGGGTATATATACCCACTTTAGCAAATCATTAAAAGGATGAGATGGGTCATATAAAGTGCTTAGTACATAATGAGCAATAAGAAAAAAATGCCCAGTTTTGCCTGTTCATCGGAATACCAACATTAACGATGAGCATTTTCTCAGCCAAACCGAACATCCCAGGCATGGGACCCAACATGATTCAAGAACTCAGTGAATCGGTTGAGAGCAAAGCTCTTTCCATCCTCTCATGAAAAGTGAAAGTGCATTCTGGTACTGCCCTGGGGATGTGGAACCCAGGCCTGCAGGGGCAGGATGGAGAGAGGAGTAAGCCAGGCTGCTCTAGCCACTGACCTGCCTGGGAAACTGGTCTGTCCACGTGTCACCAGCATCCAGGAGGCTGAAAAGGGGTAACGCTGACGTTTTTGTCATTTTATTTTATTTTTATATTGGAGTATAGTTGATTAAAAACATTGTGTTAGTCTCAGGTGCATAGCAAAATGATTCAGTTATAATATACATATATCCATATCTATTCTTTTTCAAATCCTTTTCCCAGTTAGGTTATTACAGAATATTGAGCAGAAGTCCCTCTGCTATACAGTAGGTTGTTGTTAGTTATCTATTTTAAATATAACAGACTCACAGACTTAGAGAATAAATTTATGGTTACCATGGTGGGGGTAGGAAGGGATAGATTGAGAGCTTGGGATTAACATGTATATACACGTCGGCCGTAAATACCAAAACTACGAGACCTGTAGTCCCCACCGCCTTGACTCTGGATCCTGGCGCTCTCCTTCTGCCCTCTGCCAAGCGCCTCCTTTATTCCTGGGAGTCTTCAAAGGGAGCTTTTGAAACACAGATTGCTTCATCCACCTACTGTGGACACCACCCAGCACTGCCATACTCTGCCTTCTTCAACAGCCCTGCCCCTCTGTTTCCATAGTAACTGCCTGGTGCTACCGCTCCAGACCTCCAGGGGGCGCTAGACCAGTACTCGTGCTAGTGCGGAGGGAGGGAGGGAGGAGACGGGGTCTCAGCCCTTCCCTCTCACCCAGGTGCTTGGGTGTCTCCCGGTCATTCCTCATCTTCAGGAACTCTCAAGGTCATGCCCCACCCCTCCTGGCCTTTGGTTCCGCCCACCCCCCCCCACACACACACACGCACACAAGGGCTCCCCTCTGGGTCCTCCACTCTCCGTGCACTTTGGGATCTATGCCTACACTGAACAAATAGGCCCAACTACCCGGAATTGATGAATCATAGAGTAAGGCACCCCAACATCTACTGAGGCCATGATTAGGGGCCCCCCTGGCCACAGGACATGAAATTTAAAAATTAAAGAAAAATAAAATAAAATTGCTATTGCTTCTGGATGAAATATCCGGATAATCACAGGAAAGGAGATCTTAAAGCCATAATCATAATCATCTGTGGTCTTTGTTTGTGTAGACCTGGCTTAAGGCTTAAATTTAAACCCACAGTGATGCTAAAAACTCCACAAATAGTTCATTTCCCAACAAAACTGCCATACAGGGAGGCAAATAATTTAAGTAGGGACAATGCTTCACCAGTATGCACATATTAAAAGTTGAAAATCACAACCCAGGGAAAGACAAAGCGAGCATGAAGGAAAAACAAACTTTTGTTTCATTGCTTCCAGCTGGAAAGATCACCCCTTTCTGAAACTGTCCCCAGTCTCCTGGCCAGAGCCCTTTTTTCCCTCTGAGCTAGGGTATCAAGGGGGTGACTGTCACAGATGGAGTGTTGAGGTGGAAACCCCTCCTTGGAGGTGCAGAGGGAGGAATTTAGAGGGAGAGAGATCCAGCCATCAATTCACAACTGGAAATTTACAATGGATGTGTCTCCCTCATATCAGATTGATGGATGGAAGTGAGGTCTCATTTCTAACCCTAGGAGCACTTTAACAGTTTCATACAACATTATGTTTTCTGAGTGCTCCCCTTCCCCCCAGAATCAATCTATGGGTTATAGATTATTGATCACTAAGGACCCAGACCACAGCCTCTCGTTCAATGTCAGAATGAGAGCTATTGTTCTCCTTCCCAGGCTTCTAACCATGAGTCATCGTGCATTTTCAGACACAGAGCAATTATTCATAGTCAAGTTATCCTACCCAAGCTTATCAAGAATTTAAACGGAAAAATATGTACATGTGCCTTCCTGTGGCAGCACTCTATAGATACATGGGGAAAGTCAGGAAAAAACGTTATTGGTCCAAGAGGAAACTTGAAACCGTTGGCTTTTAATACGCAGCAGTTTCCACGAGACTAATATCGCCATCCCGTGAACCTGCCAGCAGATAGAAGTTACCACGTTATTGTGGTCTGTTCCTGAGGACAAATAAAGTATGCCGCTCTTTAGTGTTGTGTAGAGCACGCCACGCTCTAGACAGAAGTGTTTCAAGTCAACACAATATGAAAAAATTCAAAATAAAATGAAAAGTGTCTGAAAACAAACCAACATAAATATACAGCAGTCCTGTTAATTATGATTATTTATGATCCTAAGAACTGGCATCATTACTGTGGTTTCCTTTCCAAAATCTCACAAACTTGTTACTATACAGCAGTTTCAGAGTTCTATAGGCTTAAAAAGGTGGCGTGCTGGAGGCGGAAGTCATCTGGGGCCGGGACCACGTGTGTCCCGGCTATGGGGACCGGCTTGTACACGTGTATACATGTGTGTGATGCTGACACACAGTAAAATCCTCTTGGACCTTGCAACGTCCCCTGCCCCCAACATTAAACTGCTGGTAACGCGTTACAGACGTCTCTGATGAACACAACCAATCTATTAAACAAAGTGCTCCAATCGCCAGCAAGGGGCCTGAAGAATGATCTAGATTTCCGCCCCCTTGGGGGAAAACAGCCTAAGGAACATCACCGACAACACTGAATATTTCATCAGGGATGACAGGACTTTTCTCTTCCTGGTCCCCCCCACCCCCACCCCCTCCATCACCCTGCCTGCCACGTGCCCCCCTCCCTTTCCCGATTTTTTCTCCACTCACTTGACAACTAGTCACGGCCACATCACCGCCATCCCGCTGTCCTTGCAAGCTGACCTCTGTAGTGTGCGGTGCCCAGTGGTCATGCTGTCCTCGTCTCTCTCCAACCACATCTGACAGGAGACGAGGCGATCACCGCCGCGGCTCCTGGCACCTGAGACGCCCTGGGACTACACAGGTAAACCAGGGAGTCCGTGTTGTCTCCGGACCAACAACAGAGGGAAAGACATGACACCTCCAGCCAGGAGCCCACGTCCGAATATTCAAAAGTTTCATCATGCGGGTGATGAAGGCAGCCCTCCCAGCCTTCCAGGATGAGGTGTGAGCGAGGCAAAGGGGGGGGTCAGCAAGGAGCACCCGGCCCTGTCCTCAATCCAGGGTGAAGGAAAGCTCAGATGTAACAGGGCAGTGATGGCAAGTCCGGTGGAGGGGTGTAGTGGAGGGAGGTGGTGCTGACCCCACCCGCTCTTGGAGCCCCTCCCGGGCAGGCTCCAGCCCCCAGACATGCCTGCAGCCACGTGGGAGCTCAAGGCCACACCTGCTGACTGACTAGACCCAAGGAGACAAAGCAGGGAAATCATTCCTTTAAAAATGAGATGATGGTTTTTTGAGTTGCTATATTCTCTCGCAACTCCTTTTTGGCGAAGTGTCGGAGTGCAGAAAAACATGAAGTATTTTGACTGAAATAAACGCTTGCATGGAAAACAGAGAGCCCTGGGGAGTATTCTGAGACTTGAAGAACGTCATACTATTTTAAGCAGGTGACAGTAATGTCATCGTCTGAGAGGTTAGGGTGTTTTCTCTAGACTTGCAAGAGAAGACAGTAAGTTTGCAGCAAATAAAGTCAAGAAACACACTTCCCAGTTGCACAGATCACTCACTCACAGGCTGCCAGGACAGGCATCCCCCCGCCCCAACCCTGCTCTCTGCCTGGGAGGGAGCTAACCAGTCCTGTCAGGGAGAGAGCGTTACTGGCTCCAAGCAGAAAACCAAATAAAATACAAACACGCTTTTCAAATCACTTCAGTTTTTCCAACTTTCATTATACCGCCCGCATCAACATGACTGCAAGCTGTTTATTAAAAAAAAAAAAAGAAAAACCTATCTCAGCATCCACTGTGGTTATTGTGGATCGGGATCTAGGGCAAAGCTGGACGGCATATTCCATGTAACCCTGAGCTTAATTCCACGTAACCCTGAACTTAATGCTTACTCCAGGCCATCCCCTCCTCCTTGTCCTTTCCTGCCTCGCTAATACTTAATAGTCAATAGGATCTGGTTGCTACCTACTATAACCACGAGTGTTGATGGAAGTCTTTCCTTCTTACCCAGCACTAAAATATACACAAAGGAGTCTTGTGGGAATTTTGCTGGGAGACCTCACTAGAACCATGTCTGCTTTACCCTGTTACCGATCAGGGTTCTTGGTCTTCCCCAATCAATAGAAATTGCTTAGAAGCCAGATAAGAAATCCAGGCAAGGCTTTATTGGGGCCCCTGCTGCAGCAGGAGGAGAATAAACAACTCCCGAGGAGGGGCAAACTGGTTCCTTACCCAGGGTGAGGGTAGGGGTGTGTCCAGGGGTCAGGTCGGAGGGGCGGCTCTAGGTGTTATGTTCAGGGGGTATGGGCGGTACTCTGGTTTTGCTCCCAGCTCTTCAAAAGTGGCAGTTGGGATTTTTTGGTCTCTTTGTATTTGGGGGTCTAGAATTTGCCCCAGCCACGCATGCACACATGCACACAGTTATTTTTAGCCCCATACGGCTTCTTCGTATTTTGTAGCTAGAGGAGAGCTACGTCCAGGTGCAAGCGTTGCAGCGCTGTACGCAACAAAGGGCCCAGGGCCCAGGCCTGCCTCCACCCCATGCTTCCTGACGTCATTCTGTAGGTGTCTGAGAACGGCTCCGGGGAGAGGGAGACGAGACAGGTGGCAGTCCCACTCTCTGCTCTCTTGGGTTCCGTGGTGAGGTCAGACACCCCTCCCACTGCAGGAGCTGGGAAGGATGAGGCTGCTCACACGTCTCCACCCCCCACCTTCCATGCACAGGTGTAATTTGTCTCACAGGGAGACAGCGCATCCACTCCAGCAGCGCTTAGGGACGCCGGGAACAGAGGAAAAGCAAAGGGAGGTGACCGACTTGGGTCCTGTGCCTCTGAGCTCAGGAACACCCTGAAGATGATGGGGGACAGGTGGGCAGGAGTCTGGGCACACTCCTCTACCAGCAAAACGGCCGCTACTGATGATGCATGAGAACCTGAAATCCTTGAGGCAGAACCAAGCTTGCAGGCCCTTGAGGACAAAGCACCAGCAATCTGCCTCTTGGGCCACATCCAAGTCCCTGGGTCCCATGCCTACCCAAGCCTGCCCAGGCCCGCCCCGCTTTGGCTGGTGGACCAGTCCCTTAAATGGGTTCAAGTGGATGGGCTGCAATGCTGAAGTCCCTGATGGGGTCACTGCTGAGTTGGAAACCCCTGGGGATTCCCTGGGATGCAGAGCAGCTCCCACCTCTCAATCAGAGCCCCCCAGGTGGGTGTCCCTCCAGCCACGGGATGAATCTCTTTCTCTTTTCTGGAGTACCCAGTGACGCAGTTGATATGACTACAGGAACCATACTGTGTGAACTATGAATGTTTCTAACCACTAGGACCTCACTACAGGTGCCCAGGGCTGGCTCTAAGAGGGATGGCGGTGGGGCGTGCGTGGGGGGACCCAAGACCCAGCCAGGGCGCTGCACATTCGGACCTCCACCTCCTGAGGCAGGAAAGGCAGGGCGGGGCGCAAGATAACCTCTTCAGGCATAGGCAGAAGGCAAAGACACCTTCTTGTCCTGCACTTAATGAGACCCTGAGGAATGGAAGAATGCAATCTAAAACAGAAAGGTGGTAGCAGCTGAACAAGAAACTGACCATGAGACACACAGACAAAGAGAACAGGCTTATGGACAGAGTAGACGTGGGGAGGCAAGGAGTGTGGGATGTATGGAGAAAGTAACATGGAAACCTACATTACCATATGTAATATAGACAGCCGTAGGACGGGAAGGCAGGTGGGAGCAAGGGACATATCTATATGCCACGTGGCCGATGTGTGATTCTGCCTGATTCATGTCGATGTTTGACACAATACTATAAAGCAATCACCTTTCAATTAAAAATAATTTAAAAAAAAGAAAAGAAACTCTGATCATGAAAACCCTGGAGCAGGAACAGTAGAAAGGCACAGGCTGCTGCTGACCCTGCATGACCTTCCACATGTGGGGCTCCACTAGTAAAGGAGATTTTGAGGGAAAACAGCTTTTAGAAGCAGCACATGTGCAGTGACTTCAGGAGAAGGGAGCAGAGGACCAGGAGATGAGGTGACCTGGTTCCATCCAGGCCACACCTCTCCTCTCCTTTCAATGAATATTCCAACCAGGCCACACCTCTCCCCTCCTCTCAATGAATATTCCACCCCAATCAAAAAGGCCCCACCCATTCAAAGGGCTAAAAGTAAGATAAAAAGAAGATGAAAAAACACTGGCTCAGGAGGAACCCAACCCTTGCTTTTGCCTCAGTAATCTGCTTCTTTGTTCTCTTTGCACCTTAGCCTCATTGGGGTTTTTTTTTCCTTCTTTGCATTCCTCATCCAAATTCTTCTTGGACAAGTTGAACAAGACCCTGGACTTCTGATAAAGCTTTTCCTCTATCACCTCCAGGAAGCTCATTCTGGGATGACTCTCACCAAGTGGGTACAGAGTGGAACCATTAGAACCATCCCATATTTGATTTCTTATTTTTCTTTCTTTTTGCTTTGTTTTGAGGGGTTTTGTTGTTGTTCTTTAAAACTGTAGAGGCTGCAGATGCTATCTCTTTTTTAAATATTTATTTGGCTGCACCAGGTCTTAATTACAGCCTCTTTAGCTGTGGCATGTGGGATTTGGTTCCCTGACCGAGGACTGAACCTGTGTCCCCTGTATTGGGAGCTCTGAGTCTTAGCCACTGAACCACCAGGAAATTCCCAGTTGGTTGGTTTTAAAAGGGGTGTTTCTATGCTCTGTATATTTAGAATCAGATGTAAATTATGCATAAGTTGTAGCTATGTACATGTCACAAGCTCATGATGAAAATGCACCTGGGAGAGTTTAAAGCAGGTTTCGTCGGCCCTAGTCCCATGGACTCTTTGGCTCAGATAATTCTGTGCTGTGTGGGGCTGCTCTGCGCATTGCAGCTACTTAGGCAGCATCCTCGGCCTCTGCCCTGCCAACGTCGGAGGCACTCATCTGCCAGTTGTGACAATCAAAAACATCTCCAGACAATGTCAAACGTCTCTTGGGAGTGAGGTTCTGGTGGGGGCTGCCAAATGACACAATTTGAGAACCACCGCTCTAAACTTGCTAGTATTCACATGTGCAGTCAAGACTAGGACCCAGATGGTCTAGAAGCCCTTGCCCTTCCCATGATGCCCTGGGGGAAGGGCGAAGGCAGGGCTCAGCTTCCAGGCACTCACCCCCCACCCCACGCCCCTGCCCTCATCATCCCAGCCTCCACCACCTTGATGCCACTCAAACTCCATAACCCCGCCCTCACCACAGAAAGAGGGTTTCCTCTGGAGGAAGCTAGCCTTCCAACGAGCAGAGAAGGAATGAGACCAAGGCACTGATAACCCATCTGCTGTCTTTAAAGCTGGGTCGCACAGTTTCACAGCAGCATGCCAGGATGCCAGGCTTAGGTGGTAATGACTTCAGCTTGCAATGTCATCCTACTGCTGCCGTGGACTCCTGCTCCCCACCCATGAAGTGGTGAAGGCACCTTCTGCACACAGCCCAGTCATCAGGCCAGGAGGAGGAACTCATCAGAGTGGAGTCCATAGGACCCTCCTTGTGCTGTGTGGCCTGGGTCCCAGAGGGGCGCCAGGAAGATGGACCTGAGACACACAGTATTCAGTCTAGAGCAGAGAGGAATTTCAGACTGATCTGTAAAAAAAAAAAAAAAAATCCAAACATGGGCCAAAACTTCAGCCCCAAATCTCTCACAAGTTTGTAGGAGCAGCCCCCCCACCCCACACTGTGACCAGCCAGGTGCTCAGGGTAGGCCAACTGTCCAGGTTCCCCCAGAGAACACTCTGTTCCCAGCCCA